CTGAGGACCAAACCAGCCTCTTTTTTTCTGTTCCCGGTTTTTTTCCTGAACCCAACGCGTGGTGTGCCTCCCTTCTCCCTCCCATGTGTGTTGTGGGGAGGGGTGTCCTGAATGGGATGGTAGATTTTTTTTCTTTTTTAATACCGAGGGGAGAGGGGTATGGGAAAGCTTAAACGGGAGGAGTTCCACTTGGGTGTATCCAGGTGGGTGTTAGGGTTTAGGGCTAGATGAGGCCCATTGTATAAGCAGTGGAGTGTGTTCTTTGCCTCCTTGCACTACTTTTTCCTGTGGTATTATAACTCTTTAGTTGTATTTGGGGGCTAGAATTAGACTTGAAGGCGGCCATGGAGCTTTTCTTTGAAAGCCTGCCTTTTGCTAGCCTGTCTTCTAGGATTGAGCTTATGGTTTTTCTCCATGACAGACACACACACACACACACACACACACCCTTTCCCATCTTGGTCTCTGGGTGTTCGTGTTAACTGTGTCCCTGAGTTAGTATGAAGGGTGGTAGGAAAGCTGAACTTCGGGGTTGTTGAATCTTGTCACTTTCTGTCTTGCTTATGCTACCTTCCTCCCCTTCAAGGGTGGTGTTTTTTTTTTTTTTTTTTTTTTAAATCACCAATTATTGATACATTCCACGTAACCCTGTAGATGATTTGACTTCATTCAGAGACCAATCTCATTTTCTAAAACTATTGTCTTATGGTCTGAGGGCAAGTTGTTATGCACCTTGACTAGTTTTTGTTTTTCCTTTCATGTTAGCCGTGTCTATTGTAGCATTCTGATCTTTAAGATACCCGCTCTCTTTATGAGTATATGATTCTCCCACTTAAGAGAATGTTCAAGTGGAGAAGTCCTTGTCCCCTGCTGCATATCATAATCAGCTCTGATGGGGTTGTTGTGACCTTGAGTCACCTTTTCCCATCGTTTCCGAGATGTTTGGATCATGTTTTCCCTTTGAGAAACATCTCCCGTTGTTTTGATTCTTTTCTCCACCATCCATTTGCAATAATGACCTCTTGCCATTGGGTGGTTCCACCATTTTTTTCCTCTCTTGGAAAGTTCCCTTCCCGTGACAGTTTTCAGTTGGGCAGTCTTAAAACCCCATTGATAGGGAGGAAATTAGGTCCAACATGGAAGAAGCCACATTAAAATGCGGATTTTTTTGGGGGAGGTTGGGATTTTCAGTCTTCTTTCTTCTCCCCATCCCCCCCATGGGGTGTATTGGATATCAACTTCCTCCACCCACCCCCCCCAGGTTTAACCCCCCCACTCTGCCCTCCTCCCGTTCCCTACCCCCTTCCTCCCCCCCAGCCAATGGAGATCTTCGTGGATGATGAGACGAAGCTGACGCTGCATGGGTTGCAGCAGTACTACGTGAAACTGAAGGACAACGAGAAGAACCGGAAGCTCTTTGACCTTCTAGATGTCCTTGAGTTTAACCAGGTCAGTTGTTCAAAGTCTGGTAGGCGGTGAGCATTGGATTCATCTCCAGCTGTAGCAGAAACTTGTTGATTCAGTACCGTTTGACTGAGGAAACCACATGTGATATAGGAGAGAATGGTGGGGAAATTAACTTAAAAAAGACTATATATGTCTTATTTGGTCAAACTGGTGATCTCTGATGTGTACCAAGGGGGAGAGAGCATGAGCAAGGTGGGAGCTCCTTTTCTGTTCCCTTGGTTATGTGGACAGATAGTCAGTGTACTGATAATTACTTTAGTAAGTAAACTTCAAAAAATAATGTCAAAGGGTTTTAGATTTTTAAAAATCCGGAACTATTTTGGGCCTGTTATTCAAAAATGACTGCAGCTGTACATCAACAGGGAATTTCTGGGAATTCAGAAGAAGACATGGAACCATGGATATCGTTCTGATGTCAGCTGGGTCTTGGCTGAAAGGAGTGACTACTAAAAAGATATTTACCTGTGTTTTATTGACTATGTAAAGGCATTTGTGTGCATCATAGTAAATTATGGATAACATTACGAAGAATGGGAATTCCAGAACACTTCCTTGTACTTATCGATCAAGAAGTAGTCACTCAGACAGCAAGTGGATACTGTGTGGTTCAAAATTGGAAAAGGTGTGCAGTGGGGTTGTATCCTTTTACCTTATTTAGTCAGTCTTTGTGCTGACCAAATAATCCAAGAAGCTGGACTGTATGAAGAACATGGCATTACAATTGGAAAAAGACTTGTTAACAACCTTGCGATAAGCAGATGACACAACTTTGCTTGCTGAAAATGAGGACAGCTTGCTCTTATTGATGGTCAAGGACTATAGCCTTCAGTATGGATTGCACCAGAATGTAAAGAAAATGAAAATCCTTGCAACTGGACCAGAAAACAACGTAATGGTAAATGGAGAAAAAATAGAAGTCACGGATTTCATTTTATTTGAATCAACCGTCAATACCCATGGAAGCAGCAGTCAAGAAATCAAACAGCAAATTGCATTGGGCAAATCTGCTGCAAAAGACCTCTTTGAAGTTTTAAAAAGCAAAGATGTCACTTGGATGACTAAGGTGCATCTGACTCAGGCCATAATCTTATCAATCTTACATGGATGTGAAAGCTGGACAATGAAAAAAGATGTATTGCTGCATTTGAATTGTGTTGGGGAAGAACAAGCAAATCAGTCTTAGAAGAAATACAACTGGAATGCTTCCTAGTAGTAAGGATGATGAGATTTTTGTCTTTTTATTTTGGACATGTCATCAGGAAAGATCAGTTGCTAGAGAAAGGACATCATGGGTCAGAAACAATGAAACCCTCAACAAGATGGACTGACACAGTAGCCAACAATGGGCCCAAAGATCATGGAGATGGCACAGGTCTGGGCCATCTCTGTTATGCGTGAGGTTGTCATGTGTCATAGCCAACTCAGTGTCAACTAACAACAGGGTTCTTAAATGTTTATTTCTTGTGCTACTACTGAGGAGAAGCGTTATGTCAGTTTACCTGTTAACGTGGTTTATTTGCACTAAAAACTTCTGCCCAAAATTAGGGTAGGTCCCTTGGGTCTAATATTTTGGTGAACAGGAATGTTGATCATGGTCTTTGCAGATTTTACTTCTAATTTTTATTGCTTTTTAATGAGGTAGCTTCATTCTTGTTTCCTCACATGTCTGACTGTTTTGGCTACTGTTCTCTGCACCTTCTCAGAGGCCAGTCTGTTGTTGGTTGCCATTGAGTCTGTGCTGACTTGTGGCAACCCCATGTTGTGTACAGTAAAACTGCTTCATAGGGTTTTTTTTAAGTGTGAGACCTTTCAGAAGCAGATTGCCAGGTCTGTCTGCCAAGGCACTTCCGGGTTGGTTCAAACCGCCAACCTTTCAGCTAGTAGTTGGGTGCTTAACCATTTGTGCCACCCAGGGATCTGAAGCCAATCTAAAAAATAAACTAAACTTATTGCTGGTGAGTCGATTCCTACTCATAGTAACCCTGTAGGACAGAGTAGAACTGCCCCCATAGGGTTTCCTAGGCTGCGAATCTTTACAGAAGCAAACTGCCACATCTTTCTCCCATGGAGCACCTGGTAGGTTTGAACTGCTGACCTTTTGGTTAGCAGCCAAGCACTACCAGCGCTCCAGTGAGGCCAGTCTACTCAGGTAAAATCAGAGCCAAAAGGGAAAGTTTAAGTTAGATTTAGAGCAGAAGGGAAAATCGGTGGGGAATGAGGGACTGGGAGGAATTCCTTTGAAAGTGAAATTACTGAAAACTTCCTCGCACAATCTTCTTTCTCTCTTACACATAACCTTCGTGGACCTACACCTCCCCCTACACAACGCTTGCACAGGTGGTGATCTTTGTGAAGTCTGTGCAGCGTTGCATTGCCCTGGCCCAGCTCCTGGTGGAGCAGAATTTCCCAGCCATTGCCATCCACCGTGGGATGCCCCAGGAGGAGAGGTGAGTTGGTGGTGGAGAGGATATTTTTGTATTCTAGGGGGAAAAGGACCATTGAGAGAAGAGAACTTCAATGTTTTTCTAATTTCCTTTCTCACAAAGGCTTTCTCGGTACCAGCAGTTTAAAGATTTTCAAAGACGAATTCTTGTGGCTACCAACCTATTTGGCCGAGGCATGGACATCGAGCGGGTGAACATTGCCTTTAACTATGACATGCCTGAGGATTCTGACACTTACCTGCATCGGGTAAGCCCCACACTCAGATTGACATCCCATTTTTCTCTCCTGCCCCCTTATTTTCTGTATCTTTTCATAGCTTATATCTTCATCCCTTTTGGGTATCTTCCCTCTTTTGAGTGTTCCAGTCCTAACCTCTTTCTCCATCCAGGTGGCCAGAGCAGGCCGGTTTGGCACCAAGGGCTTGGCCATTACGTTTGTGTCGGATGAGAATGATGCCAAGATTCTTAATGATGTTCAAGATCGCTTTGAGGTCAATATTAGTGAGCTGCCTGATGAGATAGACATCTCCTCCTACAGTGAGTATTGATCTCGTGCAATTGGCTTCCCCTACTTTTTAGCTTCTTGTTCTTTAGTATATTTGTTTTAAATCCCGTTATGTGTATCAGGCACTTGACAAGGAATAAAATTCACGCTCCCCTGGTTTTTGATACCATGTTGGGATGATTTGTTGACATCTATGTGGGGTCTCTCTTCTCTCATCAAATTATTCTCTTTCCCCCACACCAGGTCTGTCCTCTGAACCCATACACGACACAGACATCTGCATGTTTGTACGTGTGTCTACCAACCTCCCTTTTTCCTTTCCATGCCTTATTCTAACTATCATATTTTCTCTTCAGTTGAACAGACACGGTAGAGGATTCACTCATTCTGGAATATGACAGTCTGTCCCTCTTCAGGAGACACCACCAGGCGTGGGGGTGAAGGAGACACTACTGCCACCTACCCCTGACCCCCTCCCCCACGGCTTCCCTCTGTTGCATCAGCACCACTCCTAAGTCCCCATTCCTGATTTGTCAGAATTTTTTTTAACAAAACTAAAAATGAAACAGTGTGCGTCTGTGGTATCTGTAAATGCTCCATCCCTTTATTGGATTTGGGGTGAGGTCATTTTCAGGTGTGATGCAAGATAAGGGCCCTGCTTTGGGCCAAGAGGTCAGTGGGTGGGGGCATAGTGGGGATGTGCCTAAGCAGACGGCAAAGGTTGAGGCTCCCCGCTGTCCTCCAATTTCTGGCCCATTTTGGAGGGCTCAGTTGGTTTTCTCATTAGTCTGGGAGAAGCTGGGATGTTCCTAATTGAACGGCTTGTCGGGGGTGGTGTGCAGTATTTCCAATATGGGAGACTGAGTTGGGGACTGGTAGGAAGCTTAGGCATTTCCCCCCCGACTTCTCGGTGTCTCATTTGTTCCTTCAGCTTCTGGATCTTGAGCACCAGGGCCTGGGCCTCCCAGACCCCCTCTTGCCCTTCCAGCAGGGCCTGGTACAGCTCTAGTTGCTGCTCCAGCAACTCCTCAGCTTGGGCCAGCTCAGCTGTGTGATGGGGCCAGGACCTTGGTGAGGGAGGATTTGGGGGGAGAGTATCAGTCAGGGAAGGGGCTGAGGCTCTGGTTGGGAGTCAGGAATCCCACCTTCCCCTTTCTCCTTGGTTTAAGATCACTTGGGAAGCCAAGGTGCTTCCTGTGTAGGGCATAGGCCTCTGGGGGGCGGTTAAGAGATCACTGGCTCAGGGACTGTAACTGGACCCTGAGAGCCTCTCCCCTTGTACAGGAGTCTGGGGTCATAGGAAGGAGAGGACTGGCTGGCCCTCTCCTCTAAGAAATAATTAACTGTCATATAAGGGGAAATTAACGTTCAAGGACTTGGTGAACTACTGCTCTGGGGAGGGGGAGGAAGCTCTGAGGTCAGGAGCGTGGGGGGAAGGAGTTGAGAGCTGGAGCTAGGTGACAAGCTCCTGTGGTGAGGGACAGTGTGGGTCTAGCAGTGTTGGTGTGGAATGGGATCAGGGAGGCTCCTGTCCCACGCGAGTACCAATAACCGTTCACACCGTCCGCCGCTACCACTGGTGTCACTTACCCTGGGGGGTGACCTCATCTTTCCACTGTCCAAGGAGCTGGTCTTCTGTGCTTGCCTTGGGGCTCTGGGAACAGCACTCCCGGGAGGCCTGGGGTACCAGGGGCCAGGAGGGCAGGAGGCCCTGGCAAAGCCAACAGCATTGAGAGAGCCAGGGCAGAGGGAGCATCGTGGTGAGGCAGGGAGCTGTCTGAGCTGCCCAGTAGCTGCCAAGAACTGGTTCCCACTGGGCTTTGGGCCTTGCTTCAGTGCCCAGCCCTCCCTAGGCACCAGCCCCTGCCCCATTCCTCTACCACCACCTCCCAGCCTGGCCCCAGACAGAGTCCAAAAACTGTTGGTTGATGTGAAAAACATTGCTGCCAGTTTAGGCATAACTTGCTTCAGAGTGCTGCTGCCCAGGCACCCACACCTCTCGTGTCTGTTTTGCTTAGCACTGTCTTCTCACTCGGCTCTCCAAGGTAGGAATTGTATCATTGGTTTGCAGATGAAGAAATTGGCTCAGAGGGTTTCGTTCAGCACTCACTTATTCAGGCAAATATTTGTTAACTGAGGCCAATTCTGGGCCAGATGTGCTCAAGGCTGCACAGCTGGTTGGTAGAAGAACCTGGAGGATTCACATCCAGGTCTGTTTGGTGCTGTTGAGTGGATTTTCGACTCTGACTCCATGTGACGGTAGAACTACCCTGCAGTTTTCTTGGTTGTAATCTATGGGAGCAGGTTGCCAGGTCTTTCTCCCGTGGAGCTGCTGGGTGGTTTAGAACTGGTAACCTTTCAGTTAACAGCCGAGCACTATTCTGTTGTGCCACCAGGGCTCCTTATATCCTGGTCTACCCAACTTGAAAACTCATACTTGGATCTGGTTCATGTGCTGATTCCCCCATTATTTCTCTTTCCTCTTTTCTTGCTGGCCCAGAATTGCCTTTTTCCCTTGTCCCTGATTTGCGTTGTATCTTGTTAGGGTTTGCCTTTTCTAGTAGATCTGGGCATCTTTGTATCACTTATAACCTTGGCTCCTGACAAAGCCTGACACTAGTATAGGTTTCAGCTTTGCTGAACTACTGAGCTGCTCCAAATCTTCAGCACTAGATCAAAAGTCCCCTCTGTACATCATGTGTGTGACCCTTGTGCATAAAAGTTGGACTTCTGCAGTGTGTTCTGAAATGGTGTCCTGTTGTGGCTGGAGAACATAGCAACATCCCTCTGGGCAGAGATGACTCAGATGGGAGTGGATAATCATATGGGGAAAGGTGGGTTCTCAGAAAAAACGTGATTCAGGAGGCAAAGATTGCTGGATAGTGGACAACTGCTAACCAGCTCACTATCTTCGGGACATCCCTCTATTCAAAGGGAAGATGGTCTGTACCATGGTGTAGTGGTCCATGAGCCAGCCAGGGAGACCTTCCTACAGGTTCTCAAACTTAGGATGAAGCACCTTTAGAGGCCAATGGTGGTGTGCTCCCCATTAGCTGACTGGTTCCCACTTTTCAGTGGAAAAATGACTAAGTACCACTGTAAAAACTTTGAGGGAGGGGAGTTTTCATTCATTCCCTTTTGTGATAGGGTTGTGCATGACTCATATTTGAATTGCAGTGTATACACTTCTTAGTCTAATTATTGGAACATTAGGGCCCCAAACTACCACTGTTACAGATATGTGAAACCACCCAGTGTAAGGTTAAACAGTCCACAACAAAGTAACACTGAAGCTGAACTAATCATATTTGTAAATTAAAGGCAAGATTAGCAATTGGAAAAAAAGAAGCGAGACTTCTGCAAGACAATCCAGACTCTACACTAATAACAAAGTTTCCTTCCTGAAAACTGGGAATTCCAACCATCTGAGTTTGTGCTTTAGATTATAAACTAAAAAATGGAGTAACCTCTAGTAATTTACGGTAGGTAGTCCTGAGCCATAAATTAAAAATAGTCTGTGGATTTTGGCTTTGTTCATCTGTGAGAAATGAAGAAAGGGCTTCGGGTCAATTCAAGATCTGTTGGGTAAGCTGTGGAGCTCATAATCATGGATATGAAGAAATGAAGATAAATAGACCAGATTACCTGGTTTTATGTTACTGTGTACATTTACTTTTTGTTTCCTGAGTCTCTAATAGAATCTTAAATGAGGGTTCTGGGCTGGCCTCTGCAGGGTTCTGTCTTCAGGCAGGGATAAGCAGGGAACTATGGGAAGCATCATCCACAAGTTAAAGGGGCTGCAGAGCCTCTCCCCATCCCTCCAGGCCAGCATGTTGATGGTACCTTTAGTACTGCATCATACCCAGATGACTGGCAGGACTGGGCTGACATGAATCATTGTACCTTTCATGTGAAACTCCACTGGAGTTGGGGGCATAGGGTTATTGAAATCCACCTGTTTCATAAACGTAAGAGCCTAGTAAGTGTGAGACCCTGATGGGCACTGATCTGTTCCTGTCATAGGTGATCTTCACAGGAAGCTTTCAAGAGAGCTCTTCTCATTTCGTTTTTTTAAATTAAAATTATTTTGGGATACTTTTAGATTTACGGAAGAGTTGTACAGACAGAACAGAGGGTTCCTGTATATGCTTCACCCAGCACCCCCTGATGTTAACATCTACATAATCATGGTATATTTGAAATACTAAGAAGTTAATATTGGTACAATACTTTTAACTATAGCCTTTGTTTGGATTTCACCAGTTTCCTAAAGAAGACACTAAGGTACACAGGTTTCAGGGCCTGCACAAGTTCACACAGAAAAGAGGCTCTCATTAAGCACCACATTTGAGGTCATTCAGTGCAGCCTTTAATATCCAAGACATGATGGCCAGTTCTCCATACATATCTTCATTTCTCAGAACTTTTTTTTTTTCCAGTCTGCAGGGCTTATAAATTCAATAATTTTATTCCCTAATAGTTGGAAACTTCCCTAGAAGTTCCAAGTTTCAGTGTGAGCCTCTGAATCCAGGGTTTCTGGGATTTGGTGAACACATGTATATCACAAACTTGGCCAGAATAGGCAAGAGGAAAAAGGCAGCAGATGGAGGAATCACTTGCATTTTTCTCTCATGTAGAATATTTCCCTCTTTCTGCTCTTTCCATGTCCCTGAGTGTGAGGGAAAAAACGGCTCCAATGGGCTATGAGAAATGCTGTGGAAACATTTCTTTATCCCTTCCAATCCTTCAACTTCTACTTTAGCTGTGCCCTTTCGCCCTCCACAACCCCTGGTCTATGAGCCTTTGCCTTCTCTCAGATTCAGCTAGAGCCCACTCACCTAGTGAGCCATTTATTCCTGGAGGGTAGAGGCGGAAGCAGAGTTCAGAGCCTGGGGCTGTTGCAGAACATAGGAATGAAGGAGGTTGGAGTGAGAAGGGCTTCCCAGTGAGGATTGAGATGTGAATAGTCAGGGTGACTGAGGACATTCCCAGCATCTCCATTTAGGAGAGAAGGGCAGATCTTGAATAGAAGGGCAGAGAGTATGAGCAGGGTTTGGATGAGATTCACCCTACCCTCACCTCCAGTCTCCTGACAATGCCTCACCTCAAATCACACTGAGGGGCCCCTTCAGGCCCAGGTGCTCCACCAAGCAGGTGTATCTCAACTCCTCTCCAGGGAGGACCCCGACAGCTGCCTTGCTCTGGTGGGTCTCATGCCCCCCAGGTCAGTTCCTTCCATTCTAGCAGCCAGGTCAGTGTGATGCTGGCAGGTAAGAAGACAAAGGATTGGCCTCTCAGAGAGTGATTGCCTTCAGGGTCCTCCTTGTCAGTCACCAGAACCCTGGAGAGACCCTGGATGTAGGAAAGGGGGAAAAGAGATGGAGTGAGGGTGGGATCCCACTTCTGTTTTTTCTCCTAGTCCTCCTCCACACAGCAGCACCTTCACCTCTCACAATCCCCAAGACTTCTAAAAACTTGGGCAGAAAGAAGAGACGCAGAACCCTACAACTGCCTGCCTCTACTCCTGCTGGGCTTTAGTGCTTGCCCCAGCATAGAGTCCTAGGTATGCGCAGAGGGTAGTCCTGGAATTTTCTTCCTTCATTTACCTGCGGGGCTCAGTTCCTCACCTCCTTCAAGTTTGCTCAAATGTCACCTCAACAAGGCTCACCCTGACCATCCTATTTAAAAGTTCCACTTCTTCCATTATCCTCATTACTTGGTATTAATTTTTTCTCTATATTTCTTACCACTTTTTAATGCACTGCGTAGATTTATTTTTCCAAAGATGGCCTCAACAATACCTCCCATTCCACATGTTCTTTTGTAATGTGACCTTGCCATTCCCTATCTAGAGGTGGGCCTGACTTCCCTCCCCTTGAGTCTGTGACTAGCTTCCATGAATAGAACATGGGGAAAGTGACACTGCCTGACTTCTGAGGTGCTGACATAAGATGCCTTCTGGTTTCTGACTCGGTTGCTTCAAACACTCCCTCCTGGAACTCAGATGCCATGCTAGCAACAGCTAAGCCATATGGAGTAGCCAGGTGGAGGTGAACCTAGGTAACCTGGTTAACAGGCTCACTGAGCTCCCAGCTGACAGCCAGTACCAGTGGCAGCCCTGTGATGGAGCCCTCTAAAATGTTCTGAACAGTTGGGCATCCAGGTGACTGAAGCCCCAGCTCGTATCACATGAGGCAGAAGAGTTTCCCTGCTGACCCAGATGACCAAAGAATGAGAGAAAATAAAAAGATGGTTTAAGTCACCCATTTTGAGATTGTTTCCTACTCAGCAATAGATAATGGAACATATCCTATACCGTGTAATTTACTACTATTACTATGTTTTTATTTTTTGTCTACCTTTCCTGTCAGATTGTAAGCATTAGGAGAGCAGGTTTTTTGTTTTTTGTTTTTTTTTGTCTGTTTTTTGATTTAATGATTATCAAGCCTAGACAAGGAGCCCTGGTGGTGCAGTGGTTAAGTGCTTGGCTGCTAACCAAAAGGTCAGCAGTTTGAACCCACCAGCCACTCCATGGGAGAAAGATGTGGCAGTCTGCTTCCATAAAGATTACATCCTTGGAAACCCTCTGGGGCAATTCTGCTCTGTCCCACAGGTTCCTATAAACTGGAATCAACTCGAAGGCAACAGGTCTGGTTTTTATAAGCCTAGAGCAGTGCTTGTCTCAGAGAGCTCATTAAATGTTTTTCAATGAGTGAATGAATGCTGTGTCTCCAACACCTCTTGGGCCCTGATTGCACCCCCTCCTCCAGGCTGGGGGCCATCTTTGGCTGCTGCCTCAGCTCATAGCTGTGACTCAGCCGCAGTGTGTGAGGCCCTGGGGGAGCCCTCACCTGGTCTGGGACCCTGGGTCAGTCCTCAGGTAGAACTGAGATTTGGGGCTGGGGCTGCAGAACTCCTAAGTACAGGGGCTGGAGAAGCAGAGAGCTGGGTATGAGGGGGCCTAGACTGACGATCCGGGAGCTAGGGTCCCCAGGAGAATAAGAGGAAGGATCCCAGGGTCCACAGACTGCAAGCTGGAGAGGAAGCTGGGACTACCCTCAGGATCCAGGGAGATGGGTAGTCAGTCACCTGGGACATGTCCTACCGCCAAGATTTGACAGCCCACAGTGATGTCCAGGCCCCACACTGCATCTCACCCACGTTCATCTGAGGCCCTGTGGCTTCGTTTGGCAACTCTGGTTGTCACAGGCATCAAAGGGACAACTGAGGCCTTGACCACACGCTGCTCAGGGCTGGGCTCAGACATGGCTGTGAGGTCCTAGCACAGAGTGGGACCCTAGAAATATTAAGAATTTGGGACCAAGGCTGGTCCCCACAGGATGGCATAGGCAACTGCTCTTGGCTCCAAACACATCTCCACAGTGTCCCCCTGCTCCAGTCCTCCTCATGATGCTCTCCTCCCTGGCTCCTTCCTGTCCCCTCCTTTTGGCCTTGAACCCCCTGGTGTCCCCATTTTCTCCCTCTCAGTTATCCAGGAGCCTCTCCTCCTTCATAACCTAAGGCCCCAGAGGCTCCTCCCCCAGCTCCCAGGTGGGAGACTCACTGAGGGATTCCTGGGAGGAGGGGGCCTCCTCCTCCAGAGGCTGCAGGTGGAACGACGGACAGGAACTCGGAAGTCCAAGGTCCCATCCAAGAAGACAGAAAAGTTTGCTATTGGGGCTCACAGTACATTTGTGGGGTCCACCTGGGACGTGGAAACTGGATATTATGACCTGGAGACTCCCTTCGAGGACACTGCAGTAGGTCCAGGCCATGCTGTGATCAGCCACCAACCAGTAGACCCCATGGTGTTAGAGGTGTCAGGGGTGCTAAAAGGTGCAGAATGGAGCTAAAGGCAAGCACCAGTGGGAGAATCCCAGCAAGCCTCTGGTATTCTGGAGGAAGGCCATGCCATCCACAGCAGAGAAACACACTATTTGAAAAGTAACTTTGAGTGTGTTACTGGCCCTAACAGAGGCAGAACACTTCACCATAGGACACCAGCAACCATGCGATCACCACTGCCCATTTGAGCTGGGTTCTGTTAAACCCACTAAGTCATTAACATTTGACAGGCCCAGCAGCAATCCATCATAAGATGGACATGGTACATCTGGGATTGAGCCTGAATCACAAGCTAACATGCACCAGAAAACACCCACCACTGAAGAGGCACTGAACCAACAAGCAGACAAAATGACATCAGCCAGCCTTCATCATTGGTCAACAAAGAAATGGCACAATGGATACATGAATGGAGTGGCCACGATGGCAAAGAAGGGGCTACATACTGGTCCAGTAGTATTGACTTCCACTCACCAAGGTTGTTCAAGGTAAATGTCACCTCTGAATGTCCAACTTCTCAGCAACAGAGACCAGTACTGGGCCCCTGATATAGCACTATTTCTTGAGGTGATCAACTGACCACTAGGTGACAAGATGACTACACTGAGCCCCTTCCATCCTGGAAGGGCCAGCGTTTCTTCCTCACAGGGATAGACACCTATTTCATGTATAGGTTTTTCTTTCCTGCCCTCAGACCCTCAGCCAGTACCACTACCTGGGGGCTTTTGGAATTCCTCTCAGCACAGGATACAACCAGTGTACCCTCTTCACAGTGAAGGAGATGCAGGATGGATGATAACCATGGGGTCTACTAGGCATATCACATTCGGCACCATCCAGAGTCAGCCAGCCACCCATAAAGCTGGACAGACCTTCTCAAGGCAAAAAAGGAGGTGCCAGTTTTTAGGACACACTTTGAAGGGTGAGTGGCACTTTCATGATGCAGTGTATTATCGAATCAGAGACTTCTATACAGTGCTGTGACCCCAATAGGAGGAGTACATCGGTCCAGGAACCAAGGATTGGAAATATATTTGGATCCACTTACCATCACCTCCAATCACCCACTGGGAGATTTTTTTGCTTCCCAACCCCACAACTCTAGGCTCTGCAGGGTTGGAGGTCCTCGTTCCCAAAACAGCTGCACTCCTACCAGGGGACACAAAGGTCCCATTATGGTTGCCACCAGGGAAATTAGGAGTCCTTGTGCCCAGAGACCATCAGCTTGAGGAGTCACTTTTCTCTAGTCAGGAGTAATCAACCCTGGTAAGCAAAAAGTAGAGCTGCTGTTACACAATGGGGACAGGGAGGAATATACGTGGAACTCAGGTGATCCACTTGGCGCCTCCTGGTTCTCCTTGGCCCCATTGTAACTGTGAACAGACATGTGCAGCAACCCCAGCCTGAGAAGGAAATTATTTCCAAGGACGCCTCAGAGATGAAGGTTTGGGTCACACCCCCAGATAAACTACCAAGCACCCAGCTACTGTGCTCTGAAACCCACAGCAGCATTTGTGCAGAGGCTATGCTTTCCAGGGGGCTCTTCCCAACAATGGCTGATCACAGCAGGGACACTGAGGCAGGCCCACTCCTGGGGGACATGGGACTCCTCTGATGGCCAACTGTGGCTCAAGGACTCCCTGATGGTCTTGCTCAACTTTCCTTAGACAGCCTGGTGGTCTAGGAGGTGTCCAGCAAGCTTCCTCTCCTTCCAGTGCTTGGCGTCAGACCTGCATCTTGGTCTGATGGCTCTCCCAGCCTATTCTGGCTCGTGCCTCACAGTCTCACAGATGTTTCCCCTAAGAAAACACTGGCGGGTTTAATCCCATCTTGGTGTCTGTTTCTTGGAGGTCCTGGACTAACAAAATCATTTTCATCTGTGTAACCAACAACCTATTCCTTATTCCAACTTGGAAAATCCTTATCTTTAGCTAATGTCTCCCACCAGCATCTGGTCCATTTTGCTTATCTTTGTATTATCTCTTTGAGTTAATAGATGTTTGTTGTTTTAAGCTACTAAGTTTTGGAGTAATTTGTTACATAGCAAAGATAACTAATAAAGCTCTCTATTATTCTAGAGGTATTGTCTATATCTTTTATTGCCTTGCACTATGAAAACATTATCTATACTCATTGTTTCCAATTCCTCTCCTCCTATTCTTTCATTTCCTTTCTTCCTTCTTCTGTCCATCCTCCCTCCCTCCATCCTGTCTTCCTTCTCTCTCTCCCTCTCTTCTGGCCTTCCTTTTTTTTTGGTTATGAAAGATTCCAAACATATTAAATAATGCTACGTGGGTATGCTAAAAGGAAGCATTATCTGGACATATATGCTAAAAGTATAACGCCAAAGTTTATGGAATAAAGGTAAAAGAAAGGAAGTTAATAATACAGTCTGAAAAGGAAATGCCTGGGTGATTCTAAAGCCAAGGCATGTCCTTCAACTCTTAATGCCTCTCCTTCAGCTAAATGTTTTATTTTCAGGACAAGTACATTAGAACAATGTGAACTCTGATGCATTGCTTGTAAAAGTTTAAATTGGTATAAGCATTTTGGAAATCAAGTTAGCCTTTATCAATCATGGTGAAAGCACATGCACAATATAATCCAGCAGTCCTACTCCTGGTCATATACTCTGGGGAATTTCTTGCCCATGTGCCTCCGGAGACACGTACACTAATGTTCACGACAAAAACTGGAATCAACCAAATAGACATCAACAGGAAAATAGCACAGTTTTGTGCTATTTTCATAAAACGCTACTTCACGCGAGTAAAAATGAATGAACTACAACTTCACACATCAGAGATGCCTCTCCTACACATAATGTTGTGTCACAGAAGATACTGCAGTGCCACTCCACTCTCAATGCAGAAGATACATTCAGCGCCACTCCACTCTACATGAAGTTTAAAAACATGCAAAATTAAATAATACTTGGTTTGGAGATATATACACATACTGTAAACATCTTTAGAAAACACACAATAGTAGTAAACACAAGACTCACGATAGAGTTTATACTTGGAGATGGCGTTGGGGGGCGCCTATGGTGGTTCAACGGTTGTATTTCTTATGCCAGTTGTGGGTGCCCAGGTATTTACTGTATCATAATTCCTTAAACTGGAATTTTTCAAAGTGAAGCTTATGAACCATTACTTTTTTTTTTTTTCCTTTTTAAAAAGAAAATAAAATACCAACGTTCACTGCAAGGACCTACTCACATTGGAACAAAGCCACAGTCAATTATTACGAACCATGTCAGAGGGAGGACAGGGAAGTCGTGAAAAATATGATGCTGGAAGCTATGCCACTGGTATTTCAAATACCAGCAGGGTCACCCACGATGGACAGGTTTCAGCGGAGCCTCCAGACTAAGATAGACTAGGGAGAAAGACCTGGCAATCTACTTTTGAAAATCAGCCAATGAAAACCCTATGGATAAGAACAGAACATTATTTGATTTGCAACTGATCTTGGGGATGGGACAGGACCAAGCAGTGATTTGTTCCATCGTGCATGGGGTTGCCATGAGTCGGGGGCCCACTCATTGGCAACTAACAACAGAAATATGTCACTTGATCATTTACTCACCGGTGTCTCTACTGATTTTCTGGTGTACAGTGTTCAATCTGATGTGCAGGGTAATTCTATCTTATGAAGGATTTGTTGTGTTGCTTACACTTAAGCTCACATACAACTGTATTAAGTACACTTACTGAATGAGAAAAGTACACTGTTGATCAATATAAATTAAACCAGAAAAAATAATAAATAACCAATGATAGACTAGCAAGTACAAATGGAAAATGCATAGAACTGCTTTAAAAAATTCTAAACGCACATAATAAGATTGCTTTTTAGAATAACTCTGGTGTCTAAATCACTTGTAGTAAATCACAATGAAAATCATGGCGAAAGATGTTAGATTTATTATAGAATGCCCGATCAATAGTCAGGTGTTTGAAAACATTTGGTTCCTAGATTGGAGTTAACCTTTTTGCCAACCACATCACATCCAAAGTGTTGTCATGATTCCAAGGTAGATGTACACACTGAGGTATGAGCTTCACATTCTTCTAGCTGAAAATCAACGTCATTAGACAAATATTTTTGAAGATGACACCTGAATGTGAAAACTGTCACTTATTAGCTAAAATTTTTGGCATTCTTAGCAATCTAAATTTAAAAGTTCTAAGAAAAAACAAAGATAGTTATTATCTTAAAAGCATTATTGTTATGGCACCCAAGCTATTTACTCTATATTTTCAAGATTGTTGTAAATTAATGAAGAAAATATTATTAATAAAGGCATTTGCAAGAAGAATGAGATATCTGTGTATCTCCCCTGTCTGTTTTAAACTTTTAATCATTCCTTTTTTTTTTTTTAAACGTGAAGCACTAAAGAACAATAATTGGATAAAAAGAAGCATTTGACTTACAAAATCCTGAAATGATACTTAATTTTTTGGTTTTAACATACAAGTAAATTATTTGATACTCTTCCCTTCAAACGGTGGAGCTTAATTCCCTTCTCTTAAGTGTAGACTGGTCTTAGGAACAGAGTTTTGTTATGAGTCTAGGAGACAAAACACATTGTGATTTCCGTCTTGGCTTCTCTCTGAGATCACTTGCTCTGGGGGAAGCCAGCTGCTATGTCATAAGCCTCCTGGGACCAGCCATTGAAGAACTGAGGCCTCTCTTAACAGCCATGAGTGAGCCATATCTGATGCGGATGCGGATGCCCCAGCCCCAGCCAAGCCTTCAGATGATGCAGCCCTGGCCGACATCTCGGCTGTAACCTCGTGAGAGGCCCTGAGCCACAAACACTCAGGTAAACTTCCCTGATTACTGACCCTCGGAAACTGGGAGAAAAATGCTTATTGTTGTTAGTTGCTAAGTTTTGGGTAATTTGTTAGGCAAAAGCAGATAACTAATATAGTGTCCAAAGAGGATAAGGAATTATTGCACATTAATTTTGATTTGCTCTAAATTAGCTATAAGACATTAAATGTATCATTACATGATTCTGAAATTTAAGAATAATTTCAAGACTAACTTGACAGATTGTATTTTATTACCAATCACAATAATCTATTTACTTGAACTTCTATTTCCAATCATAACCAAATAAAACACAAAAGGAAACACCAGGCCATGCTAAGCAGATCCTAAGATGGCCCCCGTGACCACCCACTGGTTATTCATCTTCTCTCGTTATTCAATCAAACACCAATGTACATGCTGCTGTGAAGAAATTTTGCAGATATAAGAAAGATCCAAATCGGTTGATCTTAAAACAGGGAGATTATCCGGTGAGACCTTAAAAGGACTGGGCTCTTCCTGAGCAAAGAGATTCAAAGTCTGACGGGTTCAATGTGAGGGAGGGTCTACACCATGGGCTTGAAGATGGAGGGGGCAACATGGCAAGGAATGCTGGTGGCCACTAGGAGTTGGGAGGACCTTCTCCCTGACATCTAGTAAGGAAATGAGGATGTCAGGACTACACCTGCAAGAAACAGAATTCTGCAAATACCTCTGTAGGAGCTTGGAGGAGAATCCTGAGTTTCCAATGAGAGCACAGTTTTGTGAAACCCTGATTAAAGAATCCATCCACACCATGCCTGGACAGCTGACCTACAGAACTGTGAACAAATAAATGGGCACTGTTTTAAGCCACTAAGTTTTTGGTAATTTGTTACGCAGCAGTAGAAAACCAACACACAGGCTCAATTCCACCATGGATAGGCACATAGCATTTTCTCCACTGAATGAAGTTATCAACTGTCATGCACACTAGCTACATAATATAAAATCTTTCCTAATTTTTGTTTTTGTATTTTTCACTTTGTGATTTTTATGTAATGTTTAAGTAAAATTTTCTACAATAATATTTGTCATTCTTTTATTCAACAAAAATTAATTTAATGCCTACTATGTACAGGCACAGCTCTACATACTCTGAACAAAACAGCCCAAACCTGCTGTGTTCATGGACCTTGCATTCTAGAGTGTTCACGAGTGACGCGGAGCCACTGGAGCGTTTTAAGTGAAGAAATGGCACGATCTGACTTACCTTAGCAGGATGGCTGACCACTATTGGGAGACTAGTCCGTGTGTGGCAGGGAGGGGTGGTGCTAGTTCCAGAGTTCAAGAGAGGGTCAGGGAGACCAACGGGAGCAGAGGGCCTCAGGGAGGAGACAGACAGAGGGGCTGCAGAAGCAGGAGGCTAGGAAAGAAGCAGAAGAAAGAAATTCTAAGCAGAATTCTCAAATTTAAGTATGTTGTTTTATAGATTCTTAATCAATGTATATACCTAAGGATCTAGCTGGGTATTCTTTGCATTTGATATTTAATACATTCTGTGGGACTACCTAAAAATGAATTGCCTCCTCATGTTAACTAGGATAAAGAAAATAAGAATACCAAGTGACCCAATAAAATATGGACATCCTTTGTTGTCGTCTTGTGCTGACTCATGCCAAACCCCATGTGTTATAGAGTAGAACTGCTCCATAGGGTTTTCTTGGCCTAAATCTTAAGGGAAACAGATCAAAAGGCCTTTTCTTCCCCAGTGCCCCTGGGTGGGCTCAAGCTGCCAACCTTTCCATTATATCCATTAGATATTAAGAATTCATACACACAGTCAATGCATGTGCACTGGTGAAAGCCTTTTTGACTGTACTGAATGCTTGCAAGTTTGAGGTTGAAGTTCCTACACTCTTCTGGTTAAAACATACCATAACAAACTATGCTTTCATGGGCTTCTTTGTATTGAAGATAGGTGTGGGACTCAGACAAACTCAGGGCTATGAAATAAAGACAATTTTAATATACACTAACCCAGGAGACATAGATACATTGTTTGGGGAAGTGAAACTTCGCAACTTTGTGAGCCTGACTGCAGAGCCTTTCAGACACATTCATACAAAAATGGAGAAAATCACTACTCTTACAGATTAGATTCCTGATGGTTTGGGGTTATCAAAGTTGAGCTACTCACTGTCGTTAATAAAAAAGAAACTCGTCTCTATGGGAATATCTAGGTGGTGTCTTCAGACACAACCACTTCTAGGTTTTAAGAGGAAACCCTTGTCCTTCCACCTCATTCCTAAGGTGAGCTGACTCTCTGGCATGAAGTTCTCTGCGGGTGAATTTTGTTCTAGAGGAGTCCAGTGGGGAGAAGAAAGGGGTGGAAGGTAGGGAGTCCAGTTCAGTGAAAGGCATTCCAAGAAGGGAAGAGGAAGAAAAGGCCTGGCCCCAGCCTGGGGGTCTCTCCCCGGTTTCCTCAGACAGCCTAGGGTAGGACTCAGGGAGCTAGTGTGACAGAGTGGTGGGTATAGGAGGAGAGGGATCAGGACAAAGTCCTAATACCCGGGCTTGGCTCTCAGGCCCGGAGGGCGGTGTCCGCAGTGAGAAAGCCCAGCGCTGAGGATTCCCCATCTCCCGGGAGTTTCCCTTTCTCCCTCTCACAACCTGTGTCACTTCTTTTTGCCCGGACACACATGACGAGACGCCAGTTCTCACTCCCATTCAGTGTCTGGTTTCTGCAGTAGCCAATCAGTGTCTCCTCGGTTCTTGGCTGTAAGGTCCGCACGAACCTGCCACAACTGTCTCCCCAGAATCCAGTGTTCGGGGTCATGGCGGCCCAGATCCTCCTGCTCCTGCTCTCGGGGGCCCTGGCCGTGACCCAGACCCGGGCAGGTGAGTGCAGGGTTAGGAGGGAAACGGCCTCTGCGGAGGGAGGAGCGAGGGGACCGTCCGGGGGACGCAGGACCCTCGGGGAAGCCGCGTCCCTGCTGCCCCCGCTCAGACACCTCTCCCCTCCGCCCGTTCAACCACCCTCCCCCGCCCCCTTCCCTTCCCCCCTCGACGTCCCGGCTCTGCTCCTCCCGCCGCCCCTTCTCCGGCCACGAGCCCCCCTCCCCTAATCGCCCCCATCGACCCCGGACCCGGGCGCCCCGCGGGAAGGGGGGTCGGTGGTCTCAGCCGCTCCCCGCCCGCAGGCTCCCACTCCATGAGGTATTTCAGCACTGCCGTGTCCCGGCCCGGCCGCGGGGAGCCCCGGTACATAGAAGTCGGCTACGTGGACGACACGCAGTTCGTGCGGTTCGACAGCGACGCCTCGAATCCGAGGATGGAGCCGCGGACGCCGTGGATCGAGCGGGAGGGGCCGGAGTATTGGGAGCGGGAGACACGGAGAGCCAAGGGCACCGCACAGACTTACCGAGTGGGCCTGGGGAACCTGCGCGGCTACTACAACCAGAGCGACGCCGGTGAGTGACGCCGGCCCGGGTCGCAGGTCACGGGTCCCCTCGTCCCCACGGACGGGTCGCCCCGAGTCTCCGGGTCCGAACTTCCCCCGAGGCCGCGGGACCTGCCCAGCCTTTGGACCCAGAAAGAGCGACGGGGGTTCGCTCCGGTTTCGTTTTCACTTTAGACCCAAACGGGCTCTGCCCAGTCCCGGCGGGTCTGGGTGGGGGCGGGGCTGAGCGCGGGGACGCGCTGACCGCGGGGGCGGGGCCAGGGTCTCACACCATCCAGTGGATGTATGGCTGTGAAGTGGGGCCCGACGGGCGCCTCCTCCGCGGGTACACTCAGTGGGCCTATGATGGCGCCGACTACATTGCCCTGAACGAGGACCTGCGCACCTGGACGGCGGCGGACACGGCTGCTCAGATCACCCAGCGCAAGTGGGAGAAGGCCCGGGAGGCCAAGAATCAGAGGGCCTACTTGGAGGGCACGTGTGTGGAGTGGCTCCACAGGTACCTGGAGAACGGGAAGGAGATGCTGCAGCGCGCAGGTACGAGGGGTGTGGGGCGACTCTCACGTCTCCCCTTGGCTGAGGCTGTTCCCCTAGTTGGCCTCCCATAGGGAGAAAAGGAAAATGGGACAGACACCTGAATACCCCTTCCCACTATCCCAAGGGTCAGGGAGAGGGAGGAGTTGGCCCCTATTCGGAGAATCTGCACTAGAGAGTGACTCACCCAGAGAACATACATTTCTGTCAGAGACAGTTACGGGATCCAGTCTCTAGGGATTGTGGGGGAGAGGATTCCTGAAAGAGCTGATCAGCAGATCCTTTGACCCTGGCAGTGGTTTTGGTAACCGCCAGGGACTTGTTCTCTGCCCTTGTTCTCTGCTCCACACCCAACCAACCTCTTTGGTGGTCTGACTCCACCTTTTCTGAGTTTCTGGGTCACCACCCAGGTCAGGGCCAGAAGCCCCTGCTCTCTTCAGACCTGGATCCTACTCGACCGGGCAGTCTCACCTAGATTCTAGAACTTTGTAAGGAATAAGAGTATTCCGGAACCCTGAGTTCAGAGTAGTGTCTGGGTTTGACACTCCCTCTCTCCACCCAAATGTTCTGTCCAATGTCAGCATGGTCACATGAGCCCTGATTCCATGATCCATGGGACAAAATGCAGAGTTTCTGAATTTTCTTACCTTTCTCCTCAGAACCCCCAAAGACAGATGTGACCCACCACCCCATCTCTGACCGTGAGGCCACACTGAGGTGCTGGGCTCTGGGCTTCTACCCAGCGGATATCACCCTGATCTGGGAGCGGGACGAGGAGGACCAGACCCAGGACATGGAGCTTGTGGAGACCAGGCCTGCGGGGGACGGGACCTTCCAGAAGTGGGCAGCCATGGTGGTGCCCTCTGGAGAGGAGCAAAGATACACATGTCGTGTGAAGCACGAGGGGCTGACTGAGCCTCGCACCCTGAGATGGGGTAAAAGGGGATGGGGGTGGAGCCTTTTCTCAGGGAAAGCATGAGTCTTTCTGGAGGCTTCCAGCAGGGTTGGGGCTGAGAACTGTGGGACAGGACCCTTCACCTTCCCTTCTCTTTCCAGAGCCACAGTCCATCATGGGAATTGTTCCTCAGTCCATCATGGGAATTGTCGCTGGCCTGGTTGTCTTTGGACTGCTGGTTGTTGGAGGTGTGGTGGCTGCAGTTGTGATCTTGAGGAAGAAGAACTCAGGTAGAGAGCGAGAAGAACTCAGGTAGAGAGGGGTGTGGGGTCTGAGTTTTCTTATCCAACTGGAGGGTTTCGATCCCCAAGTAGGAGTTTGCGCATCTTCTGCCTCTTTATTGGGAGGTGTCATACACACACATGCGCTTACCCAGCTTGGAGCCTTGTGCTGACATGTAAATCACGTGTGTAGGTGAAGGTAAGTTTTTCATGTTAGATGATGTTTGCGATGGGGACCTGATTCCCACAGTTGCAGATCAGAGGGGGAATGTCCCTGCTGAGGACAGATCTCTAGGAGAGTGGTTGGTCCAGCCCCACTATCTCCTTTGCTTTTGTTTCCTGGTCCCTCTGTGGGTCTGCAGTCAGAGTTCTGGAAACTTGCTGGGGGGTCCATGACTAGTGGATTCTTCTAGGACCTCGTGGTCCTGGCTCTGCCCTGCTCTCTCACAGGATGTTTTCTTCCCCCAGGTGAAAAGGGAAGGAGCTACACTCAGGCTGCAAGTAAGTGAGGGATGTGGGCTGATGCTGAGATCCTTGGGATAGTATAGATGGAACCCCGTGGGAAAGCCCCCCCACCTCATATTTCCTTATTTAGTCTCACCTCCTCCTGTGGGCTCTGACCAGGTAATGTTTTTGTTCTTCTCCAGGCAGCGACAGTGCCCAGGGCTCTGATGTGTCTCTCACAGCCTAATGGTGAAACCCTGGGTGGCCTGACATGGGCAGGGGTTGGGGCAGAGGGAACATGACTGGGTTATGGGGACACTTTTCATCTGGACATTTTGATCATTTGGTAGGATGTTCAGAGTGTCAATACTTGGAGTGACTGACATGAGTTTATTTATACTTACTGTTTTCTGTGGTGTGAGACCGCTGACTTCTGTGGGACGGAGTGATACAAGATTTGTTCACACCCACTTTGTGATTCAAGGCTTCCGTTGCTGCAACTGGTTTTTGAATGTACCTGCGTTCCTATCATCATAATGTGAGGATGTGGTGGGACTCCCCCACCGTTGCCCACCAGGACGCCCTCCTCACACTGACCTGTGTCCTTTCCCCTGGATCTACGTTTCCTGTTCCCGCAGAGACAGGGCCAGGATGTCTCCATCCCTGTTGTAACTTCTCTTGCTCTGAGCTGCAGGAAACTGAGCCTCACTTAGCAGCAAGCTGTCCACATTACTGAGAAACAGTCCTTTTTCCGAGGGATAAGAATCAGGCAGCTTTGTCTGCAACGTCAGATTTTGCTCTTTACATCATGCAGCGACAGACTATGCTATGGAAGCTTCCAAGGTAAAACAAAGGGATCGTGCAGAAAAGGCCCATGGTCACCATCTGCTGGAGCCCTTCAGTGGCAGAAGTTACTGGAGCCATTCCACAGGTCAGGGACGAGAGCACGTACCCATCTGAGCCAGTGGAACTGTTGAAATTGCCTTGTATGGCATCTTTAACGATTTGTTTGGCCACCTGCTCTGGTTTGCAGATAGATGTGGTCTCTGAAATAGGTCGAGTCTCCAAAGGCTTTGTTTTTTTTTCTTCTGCGAGCCCGGGGGTGTCTGTGTCTGGTAGGTAGGCCACTGTAACATAGATGTTATACAGCTTCATCTCCATCTGCAAAGCTTCAGCTCATCCTCTTAAGGCGAACTTGGACAAAGGGTAGGCCGTGAAGCCGAATAAACCCAACTGTCTCGCCCAGGAGGACACAAAGACGCTGCTGCCTGCGTGGCACTCCTTCATGGTGGTGATCACTGCGCGGCTGGGGTACACGCTGCCCAGGTAGTTGATGCTCATTAGTCTTTCGAAAGTACTAACTTCCAGCTCTTCAAATTTTCCTGAAAGTGACATTCCTGCACAGTTTACAAGCATGTCCACTGGACCCAGTATTTCCTGGGCTTGTTTTATGACGTTCTCCACTTGGTTGTAGTCTTGAGATACATCAACTGATACAAAGCACCACCTGTTTATCATTAACAGACTGCTTTTCAATTTCTTTGCTTGTCCTCATTTCGTGCCACCAGAGTGATAAACGCCCCTTGTCTATAGCACTCAATAGCAATACACTTTCTGATGCCACTGGAGCCTCCTGTAACCACCACATGCGCTCTGGGCAGCGCGAGGGGCTTGGGGCTGATGAGCGGAGACACCATGTAGAGCAGCAGCATGAAGGCCACGAGGAAGGCGGCCACCAGCAGCAGCATCGTGGGGACGGGCTGGGCGGGGGGGCCGGGGCCGTGCAGGGCTCGGGCTTAGCTCTGCGCTGCCCGGTGGGCACAGCAGGAACGGGCTCCCAATATTTTTAAGAAGCATGATTCTGGAATTAGAGAGAGGGATGTGACAGTTTCTTGTTTTAGATAAATTCCTGTTAGGTTTCCATCCTCTGCTTGCCTACCTCTCTCCCTGTCCTTAGCTCCAAAATCCTAGTGCTGACCCAATCCAACCTTGTGGATTCATAAGTTACAGTCTAATTTAAGTTCACCATTGTTTGTGAACTAGGGCCCATAACCCCTAGGATCATTCTTGTCTGCAGAGGGAAATGAAATTGTGTGCTGTAGGTGGGCAGTAGGGAGGGGATGGAGAAAGGGAGTGGAGAGCAGTACGTACAGGAAAAGTAGAGTTGACGTTAATGTTAGTGTGAGTGGACGTGCTGCAGCTGCCACAGAACAGCATTTGGACTGAGGCTACATCAATAAAGGCACTGTCTCTAGAACAGGGAGGTGGGCTACACTATGTTGATCATTCATTCTACTGATAGTTGCTGAGGGACAGATACATTTGCATCTGGACAACATCAGGGAACTAAAACCAGACAAAAATTGGCAGCCTTGTGGAGCGAGTGTTCTACTGGAGAGAGACTAGAGACTATATCCATTGCCGTCAATCCTGACTCACAGCGACAGTACAGGACAGAATAGAGCTGCCCCATAGGGGTTCTAAAGAGTGGCTGCTGGATTTGAACTGCTGACCTTTTGGTTAGCAGCCATAGTTCACCATAGCTCTTGACCACTGCACCACCAGGGCGATGAGCATAGTCAATAAGGGAAGTGTTTATGTTGGAAGGAGGGAAGTGCTATGGGTAAGGTGATCCAGAGTGTCAGTGTGAGAGGAGAGGGGAGACGACTGGTGTAACTCAGGTGGTCGGCATGGGTCTCACTGAGAAGTGGCCTTTGAGGAAAGATTTGAAGGACATGAGGGAATTAGCCATGAGGATGCCTGGGGAAGGTCTTCCAGGCAGGGGAACATCCAGTGCAAACACACTAGGGCAGGAACGTGCCCGTGTTCTGGGAGCAGCGAGGAGGGCAGTGGGGCTGGAAGAGAGAGTAGCTGAGATGAGGCCAGAGATATAGTCAGATCATGTGGGGCCCTTACATCAGAAGGTTTTTTTTTTTTTCTTTTTCCTCTGAGTGAGTTGAGGAGTTACAAGACAATTTTGAGCAGAAGAGAGACATGGTATGACGGCTTTTAAAAAGATCACTCTGGCTTCTGTGTGAGAAAAAATCAAGTGGTGGTGGATGAAAAAGTCAGTAGGAAAACACTGGGATATTCATGCAGTTTTCAAGCTAGAGATGTTGGTGGTTTTACCTGTGTGAGCAGTGAAAAAAGTGGGAAGTGACTGGATTCTTGATTATTTTGAAATTGAACTCTGCAAGATTTGCTAGTGGATTAAAACTGGAGTATGAGAGAAAAAGTGGGGTCAAGGAGGACACCAAATATTTTGGACGATGCAATGTCACTGAACTGTGCATGTAGAAATTTTTGAAACGGTTTATCTTTGGCTATGTGTATTTTCACCAAAAAAAAGGTTGAGAAGTTAGAGGGTTGACATGTTGTGGGGTTGTTAACCAATGTCATAAAACAATATGTGTACTACTGTTTCATGA